ACATGTTTTTAATGGTTAAATTCGTCTTGGAATGCACTTAACTCAGATTTTATTACTACCTAGCCTGATTTATTATATCTTCCATGAATAGAGAGCCAAGTCAAGTTACTATTCGAAAGCAGTACAGGTTGGATTCGGTGAAACTGATGTTCACCAAACAGAAAACAAACCACGGATTATCAAGCAGGAATCCCTTTGATATGTACCATGCGTTTAAACAAAAAAATAAGGTGATATGACTACCATTAACCTTATATTGACCTAAATAAGTGAGAATTGTTTCGACTTCATGAAGTAATCCATCAAAGTAAGACGAGAATGATAAGTTTTCTTTTTTTATTATACCCAGAAAACTGATTTTATTTTACTCTAGGATTCAGTTTTTCAGGGACAAGATGATGAATTTTTTGCTTTTGAACGGGAAGAATCTTAAACTGCAAGAGCTCTGGTCTTAAAGTCGAGAATCTGAAACTACAAGTGGTCTTAAAGTCAGAGATAATGGCGATAAAGGATTGGTAAACTGTCTTTCTCTCATGACTTGATCAATCATTGATTACAAATACGATATCTCAGCCACTTTCTTAACAAAATTTAGAAATTTCTCAAAGAAACTTGGTCACTCATTTCACTCATGTTTCCAAAAATTATTGCTGAACTCAGGCATGAATCCTTAGTTTCCCAAGCTTACAAGAATTGATTGGACCAACGTAAAGGTAGGTACTTATTCTTAAATATTCACACCTCACATACTTCTTCTTTTTTCCATAAACTTGAAATTTCAGGAGATGCTTGATGCTCCGATCGCCAAGATATCATGTCATCATTCATTCCAGCAATAATATTTGCTGTTGAAAAGAGTTTTTGGTAAAAGATTTTCAAACTACCATTTGCTATTTCCTGAATTTTTGGTAAGAGCATGAACATGTAAGAGATACTAAATTTGTTTTTTTCTCTCTCTTACGTAAAAGAGATTACTCCAATCATCATCACAACAATCTCACTATTTGCAGGTCTTATTTGAAAAGAGTTTATATTTCTTCCTAGTAATGGCTCACGAGTTCTCTCTGCACCAGAATCATCGACTCACTCAGTAATGCAGGATAGAAATTTTTCTGTTGAGACATCAACATCTGGTCTCCTAAGTTCAAGCAGTGATAGTCACCTTGATCTATGCCAAGGACCTGGCGTATCGCTTGGAACTGGCTTGTTTATAACCCGGAGAGGCAAGGAAGTGCACAAATAGTTCTTCCACTGGACCTGCGTAATAAATTGAACAGGATTCTGTTAGCCACAAACGATGCAAAAGAAATGGTGGAAGGATCTTATAGCAAGACTAAATCAAGAGATAGCGGTGAAGGATTACCTGAACAAAAAGGTACAATAAGAAAAATAAACCATGAATTCTGATGAGAAGATATTAGTGAATGGTAGTGTTGTAATCTTGTTTTAACTTTTAACAACTCAGGTTAATGATCTAGAAGAGGAGCTTGAAACTACTAAGCAGAAAAGCAAAGAGAACTTGGAGCAAGCTATTATGACCGAGAGGGAAAGATTTACTCAGATGCAGTGGGATATGGAAGAACTTACACAAAATCTTATGAGATGGAAACGAAGTTAAAATCGAGAGAGGTGAGGTGATGATTTGAAATAGTTCCATGTCTATAAAAAAAAATTCGTAACCAAACTAGTTTGCATAGATCATACATAATTTTCTAATGCCAATCATTACAACAGGATGGGGGCTCACTTGTTTTGTCAACAACTAGAGGATCTCTGTAGGCGCTATGAAGAATTAGAGGCAAAATCAAAAGCAGATATTAAAATTCTTGTCAAAGAGGTCAAATCTTTGAGGCGTTCTCATGTGGAACTTGAAAAGGAGCTCACTCAATCTTTGACAGATAAAACTGAAGTCGAGGTAATTTATGCCTCGTTTAGTATTATACATATTTTCTTATTTGACAGCACCATGGGTTTGTGGATTTTAACTACACCTATCAAAGAGTGACAACACAACTGAGACTGAATCATGTTGCACTTTTTCAGAAACTACTCCAAAAGGAAAGAAAACTACTTGAGAACACAGTAGCGGCTATAAAAAAAGCTGCTTAGTGACTGCAGGCTTAAAGAGTACAACTTGAATTTGTCAGTGGATGGAAATGGTAACTTTGTAGAGGGCTCAACGACATTATCAGACGTTTAGCGTTTGCTGTCAATATCATGATCAAATTGAGGAGGTATTGCTGCATCTCTGCCTTATCTCCATTTAAAATCATAAAGTTTCCCAACTTAGTACATCCAAGGTTTCCTCTAATAGGATTTACTTTTCACTGCATCTTAATATATGCATCAAGATAAAGCTATTTGTTAGTGTAGGATAGTTAGGTTTTTGCTGCACTCTTGAAAGCATTGCAATAGAACCCTGGCTTGTTACACTGTCACGGTGTGCATTTTACAAGTTTTAACAATGGTGGCCAATTTCAGGCTCAGCTGCTTGCCGAGTTTGATGAAAACGCTGCTGCTCAAGGCATCCATAAAGATCCCAGCATGGACACTGAAACAAGAATCATGGAGGACGAGCTGATGAAGATACTGGCAAAACTACTCCAATCATCACGGAGAACGCGAAATTGAGAAACAAGGTGAACTCTGCAATGCTTCAAGCATTTCCTGTGTTTTCTTGAGTTTCAAACTACTCCAATCATCATTAAAGGAATAATAATCTCACTATATGCAGATCTTATTACATGATCTACTTCAAATCCCCCGGTAAGTGGAATCATGACTACATTTAAATACCAGGTACCTCTCTTACTACAATTTTCTTGTCCAATTGTTTTTTGCTCATCAAAAACGCTTTATTGCAGCTGATTTTTAACTTTATATTAGACTTTAGAAGGTGGTTAATGAATTGGAATTAGAAACCAAATTTCTTCGTTAGGAGCAACAAACCATGAAATGGAATCAAAAATCAAATATTTCATGAGGAGCAACATAATAATACTCTAACAAA